AGCACGCCGTAAAAGCCTGCTCATAAGCAGAATTTTAAGAGCTGTTGAAAAGGTTGCTAGTGTTGAAGATGAGTGCTTTTGTTCTCACACTGGTGTTCAGACATGTTGCAGGAAAGAGCAGACTACTGATACGACAGATGTGAAAACCTACCTGTTAGAGCCTCTGTGGTTCTGACAAGCAGATATGAACTCCGTATTACTATGCTGTATAAATATTACCTCCTTTATTCTTTAAACAGGTATAAAAATGAAGTACTAGCTCAAAGCCATGACATGTTTTGTTGTTACCCAATCAGTTTTCTCAGTAGATGCAGCATTGAGATTTCATGGCTCCTGTTTGGGGAGAGGAGGACATTTTTGTGCTGTATTGAGGGAAAAGTAAATTCCTGATTAAAAACAGTGTGTTACAGAGATACCTCTTTTTTGTGAAGAAACTGAAAGCTTTATGGGCCATTGAAGTGTTCTTAACGGCTTTTGAGCAACGGAAGTGCAGTAAAGATGGAAGCCTTTTTGTTTCTTGCTCTTATTTTAAATTCTGTCTGGGTAGCACATGCTCTGATGCAACCTTAACTGACATAGACCGTCCATTTTCTTAATAATAAACAGCTAGGGTCCTTCTCAGATTAAAATCTAGTCTGAATAGTACTACACTGCATACCCATTGTGCAGCTTTTGCTCTTTTACTTACCTGGAGTATAACAGCATGAAAAAATACCATGCTTTGTTTTAGTAAATTCAGTGGTTTGGTGGATTTATTTTTTTTTAACGTAGGTATAGTTTAAGCTAGATGAGGCAGGTGAAAGAAACACATTTTGCTCATGAAATGGAAAATAGCAGCATTTTTCATAGTCCTTGTTCCTACAGGAGTTTCTTTCCCAATCTTCCATAACCTCTGAAAAAATCTTTCTCTCCTGCACCAGAATTTCTGGGCTTACAGTAGACAGATCTCCATAATGTTAAGAGTTAAATCTCAGCCATGGTTGTCCTCTGACAGGTCCAGTCAAGCTAGTAGATGCTCTGGGCCCAGGCCTCTTAGCATCCCTAGCAGTCTTTAAATATGCAAGAGACTGCAGCAGGAAAGAACTAAATACTCTGTTCTCCATTTTCAGCAAGTGTGGGAAGGAAAAAAAAATTACTGCAGCATAAGACACTTAAGCTAGGCACCAGGTACTAACACGTGGGATCGGTTGCCTAAAGAGACTGTAGGCTCTCTTTCAACTGGAGATTTTTAGGGACAGGTCTGTCAAATATCTGTTAGAAGTAATATTTGTATACATTAACTGTATATATGGACAGATGGACTATATAAGCTTTAGATGTCCCTCCCGACCCTGTATTCTCTAATTAAGTGTTGAAGACTGAAAGCTTAAACACAGTGGTTTTAGGCATTTACTAAAGGAAGCAGGAGGATAGGTCTGATAAGCTCTGAGGGATCCCAGTTGCCAAGGGGATACGCAACGACATAGCATCAAGCAGTCTGCCCAAGCCCACCGACGCAAGAGCCTGAAGAGCAAATCGAACAGATTCCTTCTAGTCTGTCTATGGCATGAGCTCTTCTATTTTGAATTCTTTCAAGAATCCTGCTATTGCTTGCACATGCGCACACACACATACACACAGGCACACATGGATGCTATAACAGAACAGTGACATCGCCTGTTCTAATCTATTTTAATTAGAAAAAGCCCATTAGAAGATTGCCTGCATTATGGCATTAGTGAATGAAAATTAAGATTTATTACCATTGTCAAAAGAAAGGCTCAGAAGACTTGTTTGGTGCCAGTAGCTATTTTTATGCTTTGTTTTCCAATATAAACATCAATTTGAATCTAAGTGTTATTCAAGTATTCATTTCTAATGTAATATATACATATAAAAGCAATCAAAAAATCACCACTCAGCAGAATTAATTTCAAGGTGAACTGTAAAACCGTTCAAAATCCTCCTTACCAGCTGTATAAATTTTTTGAAATCGTCTTTTCTTGACCCTTCAGACCTGTGACTAAAAGAGTAGGGTTAAGAGAATCACAAACTTGGAATTTTTACTTTGTTTTGTTTAATATTTTATGCTGACATTAGTTCAGAGAAAAGTACTGCTGTCACAGTTCGTGTGTGTGTGTGTGTGTGTGTGTGTGTGTATTTAAAAGGTCCCCTACACTATTTGTAACCACGCTGTTAAGCTGATACTGAAGAAAAAGGAAATAACTAATCCATTGTATTTGTCAAAGACAAATGCATAATATAAAGATCTGTGTAAATAAGAACAGTAAATTAGATTTGTGCGGTTCTGTCTTTATTTTAGTGCTGGTAGAATAGCAGTGGTCTTATTAGTGGTGCTAACTTTGTGCTGCTTATAGTGAGAAGCAGTCAGTCAAACTGCAGGGCTTGACAAGCTGTAACGCATGCAGAACTGAAAGAACAGGGATTTAAACTTTATAGAAATTTCAACTACAGCACAGGAGTCAAGAAGCCTTGAATATGTTCCCCAAATTTATGTGGAATGGGAATTAAAGGAGAATAATGGAAATTAATACGAGAATCCATTCTGAATTATTTTCCCCCCCCCCCCCCCCCCCCCCCCCCCCCTTTTCCCTGTCTGTTTTTTTTTTTTTTTTTTTTTCCCCTCCTCCATCTTGTGGTACCATATAATTTTTGATACACTATAGGTTTTTTATAGCTTTTGGCCTGAAGTTTTAAGCTAGTTAAAAGGGTTTTAGGGCTATTTTATGACTTACGGTGTGTGATAGAAGTACTGTGGACTCCCTTTAATGAACCATCTCTTCCTTCCTCCCTGTTGGTTCAATGTCCCTGCAACTCTCTGCAGTTGTTCTGCTGCTTGCCTGGTGCCACAGCAAGAAGATGGGAGTTATTCTCTGGAGCAATGACATGAAGTATTTTACACTGTGTGGTAGCTAGGATGCTTCTTGCTGCAAATTTACTCAAAATATGGACTAAGGACTGTTCCCAGTGAGTAGAACAGCTACAGTTAGCCTGTTTTGGGAGGAAAAAGAATGCCAGTGTTGCGAGCCACGATGGGTCACATCCCCTGCTCTTAGGGGCTGGAGAATGAGCCCTGGCTCTGTTTGGATTACTGGTATGGGAGTAGCTTTGCTGTCTTGCTGCCATGGTGATATGCTCAGCACTTGGAAGAAGCTGCAACAAACAGTTTCTGCAAATATGTTACAGAACTGTAAAATTCTGCATGAGACAACGGTCATCTTAGCAAGTGTGTGAGCCAGACTCATGAAGAAATGGCATAAAGCAGTTTCCCAGATCTGAATATCTCATTATCTTTGGCACTTCTTAGTTTTTCTTGCCAGTAGTATGAGGCAATGAGGCAACATTTTAACATTTTTCACTTAAGTCCTGCTGTGCGTCTGTCTGACTGCAGCCTTACTCCTGGACACCCAAAGACAGTGATTTCTAATTCTTTTCATACGTTGCCATGATTATACCTAGCAGCAGAAAAAAAGGCCAAATTTTATTTATTTCAGAAGTAGGCTTTGCAAATGCTTGAAGAAGATTTTCTTGTGCTGCGTTCTTGTAAGATTTTAGGTAATGTATTAGAAAACACAGATTTAAACATGTATTTGACATGTAAAAAAGTGTGTAATATGCATTATATTTCAAATGCACATATGACCTAAGTGACATATTCAGTGTTACTGTTAGGTAAAAGGGTACATTTCTCACTAAATTTCAGAAAAGTTGTTCCTGTTTGTCTGAAGAAGTTGTTAGCTGTGTTTTAGATTTTCACAGACTGGAATAAAATGCTTATATCTGATTTGATCTGAAATGCGTGAGCTGGTTTCTTTTGGCATGTGCACTAGTTTAGAAGTTTTGGAAGCTTATTTTAAATAGAAAAGTCAGGCCTTTTCTTTATGCATACCGGAAAACATTCTTATTACTCTGAAACTTAATACCTCTTAAACGAAACATCAGGAACAATGGAAATACTATGAAGTTGGTTTTCAGCTGCAAGCATGATGCTGCTTCCTTTCCCTTACGCTTTTCCTCTTTTCCCACATACGTTCCCACTTTCCCATTCGTTTATAAAGCTTTTTTTCTTTATGTGAAATTTTAATTACAGGGCAATAATGAAAATTAAGAAAATAACTATGGCAACAGAAGTTAACTTTTACATTTTTATGTATATGTGTGGTTTTGCACAAATTTTCTTCAGTAGAAAAATACACATTATACGTGTTTGAACATTTGGTGTCAGAATAAAATATACTTTACATTCATGCAGCTATGTAAATTGCATGTCAAGATATTGTCTTTAGGAAGTTTACACAATTGTATCTGATTTAGTACTGCAGAATTTCATATTGTAGAATAAGTTAGTGCTATGCCATGTTTTAATATTTAACCTGAGCTGTGGAGAGCATTGCCTGTCATATTGAGCAACAGTCTCCCGTTGTTTCCTTGAATCCCATCTATCATCTGTGAATTTGTTTTCTGTACACTGTAAGTACTGTGGGGCAAGGACTTGCCAAAGTGTCTCAGTTGCTGTGACAGTCGGGTAACAATGTCAGTTACTTTGTGTGGCAAAAAACCAAAATGACTTTGCTCTTCAGTGTTCTTGCAATGACATGTTTTATTTCAGCCAAGCACAACAAAACTCTCAAGACTTTTGAGTGCCATCCTAAGTGTGTACTTTATCTGTGAGGCGCAATCAGAAAATACATAGTTAATGTCAGAATCATTATTTTAATGCATAATGCTTTCCTTGTGGTACAAACAGAAAACAGTTTAAATTATGAATATTATTTGCGACGTGAGTTTTTTAACATCTGAGAGATTTAAAATACATCTCAAGGTTATACCTGAAGGAGAACTTTGAGAGTGTTTTCATCTTGAGGTATGTTACATGTTGACAGCTATGGCAGTAAGATCTTCAAAGAATTTTAGATCTTATGTAAAAGTTTTAGAGTCTCAGGTCATTGACTGGAATGTGCTCACACCATTAAAATTTTTTTAATCTTAATCTCTTTCAGTCCCAGCAAAGATGCATTGTGATCTTTGCACTGGTATGCTGCTTTGCAATTCTGGTTGCACTGATATTTTCGGCAGTGGATATTATGGGAGAAGATGAGGATGGACTCTCAGAAAAGAACTGTCAAAATAACTGTCGGTAAGAGGTAACAAACAAAACTTCTCTTTTGGGGTGGACAAGAACATATGTTGCATAACGGCATGCAGTAATTACCATAGTCCTGTGGTGTAAGTGGGAAGAGTAGGTAAGAGAGGAAGAAATGGTTTCTTCTTTTGAATTTCTGGTTTTGGAGGTTGGTTTGACAAAATAAAGCACACTTTTTGAAGTTATTTTTAGCAGTATGTTTTGAGCAAGACCCTTGTGTTATTTCAATTATTTTGTAAGCCTGGGTCAAAGCCCATTAAATTTCAATAAATGTACTGAGGTGGCTCACATAGTTCACAATTCTGTCATGTCTGCCTTTCATCGAGAGCTTTTTTTCTTTTTGCAGGAAGGTCACTGATCACTTTTGACCCAAGACTGCTGCCCCTTTTATATAGGGGGACCTCTTACACATTCCTGTTTGTCGCACTCCCCTAATAGACACAGTGGCTTGCCTAGGGACTGTGAAGAAAATTAGTGATACAGTCAGAAAAACTGGAGTACTGACTATGTTGCATTAAGATTTGCCTCAGACACCAGCCACGGTTGTGTATATCTTTTAACTTGAGATTTAAGTAGGTGATTAGATTTTTTTGGGGTCTTTCATTTCCAGACTGTGAATTTCCTTTTGCTGCTCCTCACTGTCACCTTCCTCCATGAATCTGTTCATCAGTGACGACCAATGTTTTTCCGGCATGGTAATGTCCAAGGTCCTCTTTGGTCCAACATTAAAGCTGATATAACAAACATTTGTAGTCTTCATTCACAATTGTATTCAGCTTTTTTCAAGGCTTTAAATTGGATGTAGAGCACCCTCTCTGGTTAATTTTGTGGAAAAACAGTAATCCTTACAAAACTTCTCAGAAATTCATTCTAATCTATCAGGGAATTGCTGGTGTGGGAAGGGGCCTCTGGGGATCTTCCAGTCCATCTGCTGCTCAGAGCAGGGTCAGCTACAGCAGGTTGCTCAGGGATGCGCACAGTCAGACTTTGCGTAGCTCCAAGGATGGATGCCACAGCCTTCCTGGGCAACCTGTTCTGCTGTTTGTACGGAATCTACCCAGCTACCAATGGCTGGGTATATAGTGAGGTGGAGGTAATTGTTATTTATTTTTTAGAATAATGTAATGAAAAATCAATGTTTCTTTGAGCCTTTTCTCCTTATTTTCGCTATTCTTTGTTGATGTTGTGTGAAAACTCTTTGGGGACAGTGCCTTTCTATACTGCACCTGTCACAGTGCAGTCAGCAGCAATTCACAATCCAGGAAATTGGATGTTTTTGCAATTATACTGGATTTACACAATATTTTTTACATGATGCTTAAAAAAAAAAAAAAAGGGAACAGGAAGATATTCTTTAAATTTGTAGCTTCTTTCAAATAGGACATACCTGCAGCACCAGGTAGCTTTGTCTTGAAACCAACCATCCTTCTGGGGCTGTTTTTCCAGCATTGTTTTCTTTTTGCAAAATGGCTTGGCCCTAAGCTATTCACTTTCTTGTACACCTAGAGTTCTGGGCAGCCTTCTAATATCTTTGAATTTTCTAGAGTTCAGCTAACTTTCCCCATCAGGGTCTTAGGTATTCTTCACTGTTGCCTTCCAAAATATCTCCATGTGTGAATCTTTGACAGAACTAGGTCAGATGAGGGGAAAGTCTTTCTGCTTATTGGCTTCAATGTGCTGCACATGACTTCAACACACACCACAACTACTGCACCATGTTCTTCTATTAGTTGTAGCAACTAATGGCTTCCATTTTTTCTGGGTAGCTGCATAGGCCTAGCCAAGGAAGAACTTAATATTCTTCACTTTGTGTTCTTAAAATGGAAAAAAAAAATCAGAGTAGGAGCGATGTACAGTGCTATGGAAAACAGAGATATTATTTTTTCCATGTGTAGGAGATGAATTGCTTTTGTCTCTCTGTGTGGGTTACACCAATCTGCCTTTCCAAAGAATACTCTCCTTTGCTCAGTTCTTTGTTGGTTGGCATGTGTTGCTCTTGCCTCTCCTGCACTGTGTTAGAGGAGCCTGGGAATAAACCCAGCACATTGACTTTAAACATAAGAGTCAATGAAACCGCTCTGCATTTATAGTGATAAAAGTGATCACAGATCCCAACTCTATTTTTAAGGTGCCTTTCACAGAGTGATTCAAATGCATGATCCAGCTCCTAATGCCTGAACCAGCAGGCACATCAATGCTGTGTGTATAAACTGCCTAAACCATTTCTAATAACAGTATCCAAGTGCTGGCAGCTGCTACCTGCTAACATTGAATCCTTCTCTACATGATGAAACTGGGCTCCTTTATGTAATAAATATATTGCAGACTTAACTGAAGTGCTTTAAGATCAATTGCTGCCCGTGGCATATATTTAGTACTTGGGATAAGCACTTTTAACAAGTAAGACAAGAATTATTGAATTCTTATATTTCTGCTGGGTGAGTACTTCCACTGAAATTCAGGAACAGGCGCTTACATTTGCAGGATGTGCTGAAGCAGAATGGTAATAGATGGCCTTTTTTTTTTTTTTTTTTAGATTAAATGAACGTCAAATACAAGTTTATGTATATGATCCTAGAATTCTTTTTTGTTTCTAATTGATAAAATTTGTGAAGAAGCTTGATGGGAAAGGATGCTATTGATTTGAGAAGAACTTCACTGATGGTTTGTTTAAGGCTTCCGTCTTCTGAAAATCAATTCATTTCTGTCTTTTTATTTGAAAGGAAAATATGTCTAGCTGTGGTCTAGAGTAGTTCTTTGGCTAGAAATTTTTTGAGCTTATGCCAAAAAATAGCAAATGAGAATTTTTTAGAGAAAGAGAGAAAGTTAAAGAAAGACATTTTTAGAAGTCTAGAGCTTTTTGTAGCCAGAGAGAGGAATCATTGAGGTGTGATGTAAGCAGTATTTTACAGTAAAGCCTACATCTTTCTTTGTCATTGTGATTGTATTGTTCATGAACACAAATGCAGCCTTTCTGATCTTCTTGTTGTAATTCAACATGAGGCTCCTCTTCTCTTAATCATTCCTTAAACTCTTACTACATAAGGAATACTTACTGCATAGGTTGCCAAAAAGACCTTTCTCTTTACTGATGTATTTATTTCTCTTGGGGGCTTTGTAACAAAAACAAATCAGAGAAGTGGAAAAGCAGGCTTTTTTGCATGTTTTCACCAATTACTGAAGGGATTGTTGCCATCCATCTAAAAGAGTGCATAGGAAAGAGCACTTTTAGAAGAAATGAAAATATGTTTGAAAATAAAGTTATGAATTATGATTTGTAATCTTTGAGCTTCTTGCTGAAAAACTCGGCTTATGAGCCTATGGTTGAGAATTGAAATGCATCTTGCCTTATAGGTCATTTATGACTACCACAAGGTGAAGTCAGATTTCTGTAGGCTGCAAACCATTTCCCATTTTGTTTTTGTTATACAGACAGAAGAACTTGATAGTCAATAATATTGAGTAGAATATTCAAGATGAACTTGAATATTTGAGATTTAACTAAGAAATTACTAAAATCAAATTTTTTGTCTTTTGACATGTAGATACAGAAACTTACATTTTTTCAGCTTGCTTTGCATGTTGTAATCCAAAAATACAAATATGTAATTTAAAAGAATTGATGACCCTGTCCTAATAATTGAGGGCAAGTGTTAGGGTAAATAAATGTACTTACCAGATTAATTACCAAGCACTGCTGTAAAAATTACTGTGTCTTATACTGATAGATACATTGCAATTCAAATAAAGAGCCAGGGCGAGATGGAGGAAGGTCTGTAAAATTTATCAGGCAGACAAATTCTATCTTCAGAATTGAAATTATAATCTGAACTCTACTGACTGGAAAACTGTATTGGTTTAGATTAAATAATGCTGTTTGTGCTTACTTACACTGTGCCATACAACTTTCATACTGTGAATTGTATGTGGAGAGACTGGCTGACTGAAAGGACAAGATTTTGGGGGTTTGGGGGTTGTTTTGTTCTGGTTTGTTTTTTGCATCTGGACCAGGTCTGCTAAGAGGCAGCTTTTCACTTCAGAGGGTGCTGTACACTCTTGGCTTCTTTCTACAAAATTTGATTTCAGAATGCTGGACTTAAAAAATAGAAATGTCTTTTGACCCTTCTTACTAAAAGGAATGTCAACTGATTGACATTTGAAGGAACAAAAAAAGTAGTAATGACTGTGAAAAGTTGCAGTTTTGCGGTTTGTGCTTGGTATGGGATACAAATAATACTCTTGAGACATCCATGTTAATGTTGCTAGACAGCTCTCATGGAAGAGACTGGTTAATAGGATATACTTAGCAGCCTGGGAATTTTGCCTGTCTTGCTGTGGTTCCATTAGACACTGCATCTATAAAATTAGATTATTGTAATTTGAAAACAGTACTTTCTAGTGGCTGATCCATTGTGAATAGATCTTGGCTAGCCTCTGACGTAACATTGGTCAAGACTTACTTGGCTTTGTTGAAACTGGCTGGTAAACTCTAAAAATGGCAATCTGGGAAACGGAAGAAATTACAGCTATTGAGAGGGTGGTCTCTGTTATACAAAGTGTTTGAACCAAGGTCATTTTGATTTATTACCAGTTACTTCGGCTGTTCAGTATGCCTCTTCTCCTGCTTGTTGCTGCTGATAGTCATGCTAGGGTTCCTGCAGAGCTTGCACATGCCCTTAATTATGCTTGTCTCACTGCCTTTTCCAATATCCATTGAAGCGGTAGTAGCAGCTGGCATAGCTCCTGCTTCTGGCTGTGATTTGGCCCTGTCTCTTAAAAGGGGCTAAGGAACAGCAAGATGGAAAAGAAAGTGATAGTAGCTACTTTCCATGGTTCCCAAGTTTAGGGTGTACTAAAACTGTTGTCATAATGATTTTTTTTTGACTTTTGTTTTTGCCTTTCTCTGATGATAATTGGAGGATTTTCTTGTTTTGTGTACATGTGTTCAAGGTGGATTGTCTTGCATTCTGTTCCAGTGACACAATTTTGCTGTT